TGTAATAGCGATTTTCCTGTTCATCTACTTTTGCGCTCCTAACAGTAAAAGCACGAATAGTAATGGCGCTTTAGCTTAGTTTTGGAATTCCGTCAGAAGTTGGCCTAGTTTTGGAAATACAATGTAAAAAAGGCTTATATTGGGAAAAGACCCCTCTTTTCATCCCTACTCTCTGTACTTTCTCTCTCAACACCTACATTTCTAACAAAGGTATCAAAAGGTCTTTGGCTGACACTACACCAATACTCTAAAGACTTATCTCATCTTCATCGGATCAAATCAAGACCATACAAATCTGATTATCATCAACTACTATGCACTATACGCAATATTCACTGTTGTGCAGTCTACTCGACTATTTTGATGATTCAAACCATTTCACTTTTTAAAGTATGTCAAGTATAACATATTTGCAAAAAAAAAAAAAGATTAATTAGACATCAATGGTCCTTTGATCAAATTACATTTGTATTTAATTTTATATTTCAAATTACACTTAATGCATTTTTTTTATACAAATATAATTTGACGAAAGGATTATCGATGTCCAATTAATTTGATTTTTTACAAATATGTTTCACTCAGTATACTTTAAAAAGTAAACAATTAAGATTATCGAAATATATTCCAAAATAAGCTAAATAAACCGTACAACAATAATCGTTGTACATAGTGTGTAGCAGCCATTCCAAATCTCGTTTGAAAAATCTCATTGAAGAGGGAGAAATAGAAATGTGAATGAGTTGATGGGTGTTAATGGAGCAAAATTGATTCAGCACGAGATAGAAATATGAACGATTTGGTGGGTGTTAATGGAGCATAATTGATTCCGCTTCCGAGGATTAGTAGGTGTAGCATTGTAGCATTGGTGGGTTTTAATGGAGCAAACACTTGTATCTCCCTCATCGTAACTATGTTTCGCCTCATTTTTGCATAGTTGGATTCACTTCATTCCACCCCTCATACGCCTCGTCGTAACTCCGTTTCGCCTCATTTTTGTGTCGTTGGATTCACTTCATGGTCTAATTTTCATTTTACTCCTCATATGTGGTCTAATTTTCATTTTACTCCTCATATGTGGTCTAATTTTCATTTTACTCATATGCCTTGTTCCATCTCTTTTTGCATGCTGTTGAAACTCCGAAAGTTGGCAAAAAATACAAATTTTCTCTCTTTGGACACAATTTTCAAATTCAAACACACATATTCAAACACTTATATCTCCTTCATCGTAATTTTGTTTCACCTCATTTTTACGTCATTGGATTCACTTCATAACCTAATTTTCGTTCCACCCCTTATAAGTCTTGTTCCAACTCTTTTTGCATACTATTGGAATTTCGAAAGTTGGTTAAAAATAAGATTTTGCATTCTGTTGTATTGAAATATTATATGTCTGTAAGTTAATTTAATGTTAGTTACAATTATTATGGTGCTTAGTTTTGGGCCATTATGATTAAGGGCTACCAAATTATTTAATAAAAATTAGTTACATTCCATTATGATGTTTGATTATATCTCAAAATGGTGTTCGTTACGGCTCAATGTGGTAACTTTGGTTATGACCAAAATAAGCTTTGATTTTGACTTTAATTAGTGTTAGTTACTATTCAATTTGATTATAATCAATGTGAAAAAAATGCTTATACGTTATTATTTTTTTATCATATATTTTGTGCAATATCTAAAAGAAGCTTATTAAAAATTTTCAGCTGATAGACATTTACAAAAAATATATATATATATATATAAATTATGATTATAAAAATTATGATTATAAAAATGAATATTTCAATACAACATATGTACAAAACTTTTGTGATAATGTGATTAAATAAATTTTGCAATTAATTTTTTATTGTATGTAATTGGATCCCCTCTTAATAAGATTTCTACTGCTCACCGTTATGTAGGAAGGGTACGATGAATAAGAAATCAATTTCAATTAGATCATGTAATCCTTCAATGGCCCGTTTCGTAGAGCTGTGAGAAAATGATTATAACTTATAATTTAACAGTTCATAGCTTATGACTGTGAACATAAACTGATTTTTGATTTATAAATTAAGTTTCTCCTCCCTCACTTAAAGAATAAGTTGATTTTTAACTTACAAAAAGCTATAAGTTATATTATTAAGCTGAACCAAACAGATCAAAATAGCTTAAATTAATTTAAAAACTGAAATAAGCTGGAAATAAACCCTACCAAACAAAGCCAATGTTTGATTCAGCTTCTCTTATGTAATAATTTTATTATTATTAATATCTCTTATGTAATAATTTTATTATTATTAATATAATATTACTTTCCTTGCTGATAAAATAAAATCATAACTTGAAGTTCCAAATTTTAAATTAGCAAAAATGTTGGGTTGAGATTTTACATTGGTGGTACCACAAATAAAATATTACTTTCCTTGGTGATAAAATAAACTCATAACTTGAAGTTTCAAATTTTAAATTAACAAAAATGTTGGATTGAGATTTTACATAAGTTATACCACATGAGAGGGTGGCGGATTTGTGGTCGTTGCAGCTAGGGTTGGTGGTTGAGAAATGTTTGTATTTATAATAGTACAATGCATTACCCTATATAATTTATTTAGTCTGAACAATATTATTATTTATCAGTGAAAGTCTCTTAACAATATTATTAAACACACATCTCACACACATTAATCATAATCCACTTGTCCTGGTTGTCTCCCCATTCCAAACAACAAATTATGGACTTCACCCTCTACCGAAGCCACAAATTCAATGATCATGCCACAGGACATGGAATAACTTCCCATAGGATTTCACTGTGTAGAAATATGCTATTTGGAGACTGAAGTATGTTTTTTTTTTTTTTTTTTTTTTTTTTTATCACAAAAAAAGGAGGCTCTGTGGTGTTATCACTGCCTCCGTAGGCCCAGACCTCGGGATAACCGGTTGGCAGCTTGGCTTGACCCAATCCAAAGGAAGAGACCTACCACCGCGGCACCAATGGAGCTCAACTATACGTTACAGACTGTCGAGGGTTCGAACCGGAGTACAGAAGAGGGTCTCAAAGAGAGCACTTCCACCTCCTCCCAGGATTCGACCCTGAGTCAAGCCTGTGAAGATGAGTTGCTGTCTTCATCAGGCCACCATCCCCGGTGGTTATTTGGAGACTGAAGTTGTTAGTGTCAAATTGACATTGATAATCTTGAGAATGCAATGTGATAAAAGGTAAGCCAGAGGCACTACAGCTTGATGCCATCTTGCACGATGGTTACTACCAGGACCCAAACACAAAATGACATAAACCAACAGCTCATTGCCAAAGATGATGTTTGCCCCTCTATTTTCTGAAGAACTCACATGAATTCCCCCAAATCTGCTGTCATTTCCAAATTGACAGATCATAAAAGCAGATCACCACCCACTCTAAAACCATGTGACTGCCTGCCTAAATTCAATAAGAGTTATATTAAAAATCCAAATAATTTATTAAATTTTTTAACAAACCTCTAACATAAATGTAAAATCCACACATAAAAATTTGTGTAAATTTCACATTCATATAAAAGATTTGATAAAAAATTGAATGATTATTTAAGATTTATAACATTTCTCATTCAATAATGCTACAATCCAAGACATAAAAATCCAAAAATGACCTAAAATATATCCATAGTTTAAATTCATTTTATATATAAACTCCACACTATATAAATTTATTTCACAATACACTATTTAAAAAAATCTGAGCAGTTATGTATGGGATCAAAGCATTTTTGCTATAAATTTGACAAGGGCAATTCCCTCGTGCCATTATCCCAGATACTAGATACATTGGAATGTTTTAAAAAGTTGGTTAAAAATTGACTTTTTAATTTCTTTTAAAAAAACATGTAAAAAAATAAAGAAGTGATATAACCTAAAATAAGTTAAAAGCCAAAAATTAACTTAGTAGCCATAAAATGTTTTTTGGAATTTTTAAAAATTATATATATATATATATATATATATATATATAATATTATAACAAAACAGAAAAAATTACAATTATAATAATAAAGATGAAATATAATACATAATTAATAATAATAAAGAAAAGCTACTAAGAGCATCTCCAACGGTTTAACAAAATTTTTATCAAATCTGAGTAAAAAAAAATTGATTTTCTTGATCTGATACACATGCCTCTAATGATTATGGTTACTGTAGTGTGCATCAAAAAAGAAAAGGGACATCCGGTGAGTCGACCGATTCAAACTTTTTTTGAATCGTTTGACCCAATAATTTAAACCATTTGAACCAGTTCGCAGGCCAATATTTGCATGAGCTTGTCAACCGATTAGTCAACCGGATGGTTAACCAGGTGGTCCACCAGGTGGTCGACTACCGTGTGTAAAATTTTCACAAATTTCTGCTTTAACGACTTTGCACAGTGATTTGGTGAAAGGAGCGAGCCGTCCTCAGTTTGGTGAAACATTTGATGTTTTTTTCAATTTGATACTGTTTTGGTACAACCGTTGGAGCACAAAAAACATACAACCGTTGGAGCACAAAAAATAGCTTTTTTTCATCAAATTTAAATTTAATGTTGGATTTGGTGAACCGTTGAAGATGGCCTAAAGTAACCAAAAAACCATCAAAACAAGAAGTTAAACCCACATATGAAAAGGAAGATTTAGATTCAAGCCATAGAGCTTGAGCTACATCTTGATCATTTTTGCACAGAATCCCAATTTTTCTTTTTATTTTTACCAAAAATCACCGTTTAAAAGCATCTCCAATCCTTCATTTTTTTCTCCCATCCAATTTGGGTTAAAAAATGGCTAAAAACTTGATTTTTTAATATGAAATACTCCAATGAATCAATGTCTTGTGGTTTGAAATGTGTACATAGCATTATTGTTCTCTTAAAAAGGCCCATTATGTGACAGACAAAGGCTTAGGCAACCCATTACAACTAACTGCAATGCCAAGCTTCAAAATCAAACAAAAACTTGGACACGCCTTCAAAATCCTGACTACAAGAGGAAAGTGCCATACACAATATGGCGGAATCACATAACTACAATACCTTGAATCGTTCTTTTTGTTGTTCTTGTAGATTGTTTTGTTTTAGATTCTAACTAAGGTAGACGCTTCAAATCAAGACGAACAAAAAAAACTACAAATTGGTGTCAACAAGAAAAGTGTGGAACAAAAGTTCTTCAATCAGCATATAACTAGAATCCAAGTAACATAATTGGCAACAAAGGCATCATAAATCAGTTACATTACTCATTGAAACACAAAACTAAATCCTCCATAGACAAACCTCATTTGAGGGTAAATCAATCATGCAGGGTGCCCAAAATGTCATCATCCCTGTACAAGTGGTACCTGTGCAAACACCCACGACACCCAGATGCACAATAATAAATAAATAAATTAAATTAAAAAAAAATATATCATTTGGTCAATACTACATTCATATCAAAATCAAATAATAATGCACAGAGGCTCATTTTGATAATTTTTTTAATTCCTTATTTAAAAAACAGTGGACGGCCACATTTATTTTAAAATTCCCTGATTAACACTCAAATCACATTTTTTACCTGATACATAATACTATCCAAACAAGCTTTTCGTATTCTATTTTTTTTCTACGAGCATTTACATTCAAGTAAAAAATAACATCATTTTCAAAAATAAATAACATCATGCTGCTTACTACATTGTAACTTAAGATCCATTTGGTTTAGTAGGCAAAAAAAAATGATTGTGATTTCTTACCATTTTGTTTCCATAAACAAGAAGTTAATGAGAATACATGTTCCATTTTATTTTATTTATTTTATATTTAAAGAGGTATTTTTAATTTTTACAAAGAAAAATAAAATAATTGTATTTTCACACCATTATCTTTTATCTCTTACAATTTCTCCCCAATTCACTTCATCCAAACGTACAGTTAACGCATGTTTGATTGACAGGATTAAAGCATGGAATTGAAATTAATCCGTGAGTCTAATAATCCTGTGCTTGTTTTGAAATTTTGTTTCAAGAACAAATTTGTAAGATTAATAATGGGGTAGGGATGAAATTATATATCCTGAGCTGGAAAATAAATAAAAAGACTCTTTTACTTACTAATTTAATACAAATTAAACAATCAATAAGAGAATAATTTATCATACTAATTCAATTGAATAGTAAATACCACACTAATTTGATAAAATTATTATCACCTTCACTATTAGTCTTGCCAATCATGTTTGACAAATAAAACATGTTGTTTCTAAACAATTTTGTGACTTAATTTTTTTTTAATTTTTAATTTTTTATCATTTCTCATATCTATCATCCAAAATGATGAGATATATATATATATATATATATATATCTTCCTATTAATTTCTTTTAATTTCGCAACAAACACCTCAATTAAAACATGAAGTTTGATTCATCATTACACTATTTGTTTGGTTAATTTCAAAATTAAATTTTAAAAAAAAAGTGTAGAAAAATCAAAAGCACTAGAAACAGACATACATATACATAGAAATATAAATAGGGCAAACAAAGATGGAGAACATACTCTTTCTCGCCGAGCTTAACTTGAGTACCGCCATATTCAGGCAAGAGAACGGTGTCTCCTTCTTTCAAAGCCACTGGGATCATATTTCCCGTTTTACCAGGCGTTCCTGGTCCAACCGCCACCACTTTCCCCGAGTTCAACTACACTCAATCCCATCCACAAACACCACATAAACACCAAATCACAAAAGCTTCGATTCACAGAGAAACAAAGGGAGAGAGAGAGAGAGAGAGAGAGAGAGAACCTTGGAGGACTTCTCAGGGAGGAGAATACCAGCGGTGGTCTTGGAGGGAGGTATGATCTTTTCCACCAGAACTCTGTTGAGCGTTGGGATCAGACGCTTTGCCATTTGGGCAATATTTTTGCACTCTCTGCCTTTGATCTCTGTTTCTCTCTGTTTCTGTGACTTAAAACACTGAAACAAGTACTGGATGGTAGTAGAAGCTTCTAGGTTCTAGGGTTTTAGAGGTTTTGGAGGAGGGCCGGAAGGGGCTTATTTTCTCCAACTGTTCTTCCGATCTTCATAAAACTTATATTCTAAACTCTGTGCATGGGTCCTGTCCAGCCCAATAATTTCATGGGCTTACCCATGGCCACACACACCCGTTCCCTCTCTGGTCATGTTTTTTTTGTTTTTGTTTTCTGTTTTTTTGTGTGGTTATACTAAGACCTTGGAGCAAGCATAATTTGGATTGATTATGTTTGGAATAAAAATAGGATCAATTCGTTAGTTATGGGTCCATAAAAATTAGAACCAAATTAATTTGTTTAAATCATGAAATTAATTCGAATCAAAGCATTTAAACATGATTTGGATCGGTTTAGAATTACGATTTTACATAATTTCAATATGTACACAGGAAATTTGTTAGAACTACTCTGAATTATAGACTTTCTTACCAAAAGACTGGAACAAAATAGTGACGCATTGAGCAAACAAACAAAAAATTGGCCAAAGTATAGCAAAATGAGGAAATATTTTCACTCCATCTTACCAATCAAAAACTAAAAAAACAGAACTTTACATGAGATATTGAAATTGTGGAGACATAATTTTTGAATGAAAACACGTGGCCGATGTGTCATCGAAGTGTCAGCCGAGGTGCCACATGTCCTGGTCATGATGCCGAAATGATCTCGGCTAGGCTGAGATTATTTGTGAGAATACCGAAATCCGGGATAAGCAGATAAGGGACAAGAGTCTTAGAATGTGAGAAGATTTCAATTTGGGTGAAGATAAGACTTTTAGAGAGTTTATCTAAATCCCACTGGGAGTCCAAGATTAGCAGTAATGCTAAGTCCATTGAAGTTAGGCTTCTATTGGGATTAGGTAAGTGTTGGCTATAAAAAAGAGGCACCCCTATGGGTCTAAGGTATGTTTTTTATACTTTGAATAGTGAGTTAAGCACTTTTCTATCTTTGAAAGATAACTGACTTGATCGTCGGAGTGTCCCCGGGTGGACGAACCACCGCCGAAATCTCTTCTTTTTGTGACAGGTCGTTCGGGTTTAATCTATTCTACTAGTGTTCTCCAGCTGAGTGCTTGATTGACAGTGTGGTCGGAAATTGACACACACAATTTGGCGTCATCTGTGGGAAAGAAAGGAGAATAGATAGCCAACGACGGATAGAAAGATGCCCAGAAAGAGGGGCAGAACACAGTTCCTGCAGTCCCTCAGCACGACAGGGCAAAGGGGCATTCTCACCGACCTTCACGGGAGGTCGGGCATGGAGAATGATGCTTGGAAGTTGGAATTTACAAGCTAAGGTTGGTTTAATACTTGTTGAAATTTTAAAAATTTACAAGTTGAAGTTAAACCGAGGACATGTTTAATACTTGTTGAAATTTTAAAAATTTACAAGTTGAACTTAAACCGATGTCATGTTTAACACTTGTTGAAATTTTAAAAATTTACAAGTTGAAGTTAAACCGAGGTCATGTTTAACATTTGCTGAAATTTTAAGAAAAATTCACAAGCTGAAGTTAAACCGGGGTCATGATTAAAGGAAGGAATGATATAGGTTCCATCACCTTAGATGCCGAGGTAATAGAACCTAGGGGCAGTTGTGGGGACATAATTTTTGAATGAAAACACGTGCCCGAGGTGTCACCGAAGTGCCAGCCGAGGTGCCACATGTCCTGGTCATGATGTCGAGATGATCTCGACTAAGCTGAGGTTATCTGCGAGAATACTGGAATCTGGGATAAGCAGATAAGGGACAAGAGTCTTAAAATGGAAGAAGACTTCAGTTTGGGTAAAGATAAGACTCTTAGAATGTTTATCCCAATCCTACTGGGAGTCCAAGATTAGGAGTAATCCTAAGTCCATTGATGCTAGCCTTCTATTGGGATTAGGTAAGTATTGGCTATAAAAGAGAGGTACCCCCATGGGTCTAAGGTATGCTTTTTATGCTCTGAATAGTGAGTTAAGAACTTTTTTATCTTTGAAAGATAACTGACTTGATCGTCGGAGTGCCCCCGGGTGGACAAACCACCGCCGGAATCTCTTCTTTTTGTGACAGGTCGTTCGGGCTTAATCTATTCTGCTAGTGTTCTCCAGCTGAGTGCTTGATTGGCAGTGTGGTCGGAAATTGACACACACAGAAATCATAAAACTTATATTCTAAAATAATTATTTTAAGTTAAGAAATATAGAATACATGACAAAATTATAGTCTTAATAGTTTGTAAGGACCATACGAAGACGAACAATTGAAAAATAATAGGCAATTGCTTAGATGGTTTTTTATGTTGAGATCCATGATCAAGCCACGCCTCAAGAGTCTTTAACTGTTACGTGAAACAAGGGCTTGGCTGAAATAAAACAGACGGTTCAGATCAATTCTAATTCGAAATCATGAATTGAAAATTGGAATCAGTTCATGAACTACGGTTTCTCAATTTTCTAATCTAAAACCGAACCACGAATTCACAAAAATTAAACAAAACTTACTGGATTGAACTGGACCAGTTCGATTTGCAGATTATACGGATTCCTTGCTTAACTGCCACGACCCCATCCTGCCTCTATAGAATAGTGAAGTGACTGGCCAGTAATTTTTCATTACCAAAGGCCTAACCTAACAAATACAAAATGGACTAAAGTATAATAGGGCTAAAAGCAGAAACTTCTATTATTAATGGGTTAAGTTCATAGAAAGTGTATACATAGATATGAAATGAAACACACAAACTTTGCTTTATTTAACTCCTGAATAATTTACATCATGTATATAGATTACAAAAGAAACAAATATTTACATCCACTAGGTACAAAAAACCTATTAGCTATTATATAAACATCAAAACTCATACTTCAAAGTACAAAGTCTCAAAAAGAGAAAAATAAAAGAAAAGACTCATCAAAACATGTTCCTTATGTCCAAAATCTCTACTACTCCTCGTTCTGATGACTTACGTATATATATACATATAAGAGTAAGCCAAAACTTAGTGAATAATATCAAAGCAAAATGGTAAATGAATGAATTCCAAAAGCATTCAAACATTTCATACGAATAACTTATAGTCAAAAGGATGGTAACATAGTACATCCAATAGAGCAAACAAAACAACTATTTTTGGTCGTCAAAGGGAGATCTCAATAATGGCCATGACACGAAAATAAAAGTTCTCCAATGGTTAGGATTCACTAAAGGATATCACTACTAGATTCATTAAAATATAGAATATTCATTCATTCATTTGGAATAAAATAAGTGTTTCGCAAAACAAAGCATATATTCAAGTTTTCCAAACAAATTTTCAAACATAACTTTACAGAAATATTACTCACAAATGGCTCATGCTCGGAGTTACATCTTTATGGTTTTGACCTACATAACAAGAATGCAAGTATCGATAAAGCGAAAGCAAAACAATTAAATTATCTAACTTAGCTTTTCTTTTCTAACTAAACACGTTGCGTTTAACTTTTTGTTTAAGTTCAAAACATGTACAAGGGTGTCTGAGGGTCAAAAGAATCAAATAGAAAAAGAAATGAACGAAAACCTTATTTTTCACATGTGCGGGGGTCAGGGCCACACATGCGGGGCTGGGGCATATGTGAGCCGCACATGCAATTATTTAAGAAGTGAAATTGGTTTCAGGATGGTTTGGCCGCATGTGCAGGAATCACTTCCGCACGTGCGGAAATGGCTAGGCTGGTGCACTTCAAGTTCTTAAGCTTCCTAACTCGGTTTCCTTCAGTTCCTAACCTCAAAATATGATGTCCAAGGTACAATAACATATATATATATATATGATGCATAATTCATGGAAAAACATGTATATGCATTGAATTCAAAATTTCAAGGATCAAAACATGATTTTTCTTGAAAAGTCCTTCAAAATCATTTCCTTTCAAACTCTTCCTCTTTTCTTCATTCCTCATACTTCAAATCATGGTGTTCAATGTTTCAAATCATGAACTAATGGTGCAAAACCTAGGAAAACTCATTTATGTGCAAAAATTTCAAGGTTTGGCCAACTAAAAACAAATCTCAATCCTTGAATTCATCAACCTAGCTTGTTTTCATAACTCCTCCATTTTTGTTCATTCTAATCCTTCCAAATCTTAGTTCAAATGAATTTCTAGCTAGATTAAAGCAACAATACTAGGTAGATGATTGAGTTTCTTACATTTTTATGATTTTTCTTTGATTTCCTAAACTCAAATCTTGAAGTTCTTTTGATTTCTCCTTTCTCCTTCATTTTCTCTTCTATAGTTCTCAAGAACAAGACTCCCTCAAATCTTTTGCATCCTTCTCTAACTTTCTCTCTTTTGTAGGACTTGATTAGGTTAATTCACTAATTGCTTCATTAGCCTAGTTAATTAAGCTTAGTTCTAAGTAACCATGTTTAAACCTTAATCTCAATTAGTCCAATTAACCATACTTAGGCTTTAATTAATCCCACTTAACTTTCCTTAATCCCACTTAATTTCTAATTAAGTACTCACTAGGCTCTATTCATTAGACTAATATCATTGAGTTCATCCCTTAAGGTTTTCTAAATCATCTAAGCATTCAATTCTCCAATTCAAATAATTTCCCTAACTTTTCAATACTTGCAAGTTTTCTATCTTAAGGTTTCATGTTCAAATTCTTCAAAACTACTTAGACTGTGTTTGGTTGGAGAATTTCAGAAGAGATTTGGAAAGAGAAAGGAAAAAGATAGGTGAAATGTAACATTTCACCTAATTTCACATATATTTTTCTTTTGCCTTTCTAAATCTCTCCTTAAATCCCCAACCAAATATAACCTTAGATTTTCTTCTCTTTCTCAACAACTCTGAATTCCTCTCTAGCAAACATATCACATGTATAATGCAAATAAAATAAAAGGATTTCTTAACATGAATGGATGCACGAATATTATATACAACTCAGTTGTTACATTAACCCTGCTAAGAACCCTTAACTATTTACAAATATCATCTCATCTCTTCAGTTATGAATCTTTATATTTTGACTTCTTTAAAAATAAAAACTATACAAATGTTTCTTTTC